ACTTCGTCGAGGTTAGGCTCGACACTTACCAGTACATGGGGTCGGTTGTACTGATACTGCACTCTGCACTTTCTGTGCAGATTTTGGTACCGGCTCGGGTTGATCAAGATTTTGCTATTGGACCGCTATCCGGAGACTCAAGGTAGATCTGTTGGTGTTAATAGACCTTGAAGTCCCCGTCTATCTTTTCTGTTCTAGTGTTTCTTTCATTCATACAGTTGTATTTCTTTCAGACTATTACTTGTAGTAAATTCTAGAATGCTCGTGAATAGTGACTCCAGATCCGGGTGGTAGTAATTAATGCAGGGTTTTTTATATTATTCCGTACTTATTATATTTCACCTTAATTAGTTTGATGTTATTTACTGAATGGGATAAGAGTTGGTTTAATAATTCTCTAACGTTGGCTTGCCTAGCAAGTGAAATGTTAGGCGCCATCACGGTCCCGATGGTGGGAATTCTGGGTCATGACAATGAAGCTTTATTTTCACTAGGCAACAATTTGTTCTTCGCGATCGCGAGGATTGTTCTGCGATCGCATAAGAGGAATCGATGGGCAGAAGATAAAGTACTCTATTTCGAGGGATTTTGATATTTTATCACTTTTTGAGTTAGAGATCTCGAATTTGATTATACTTCATGGTTTCATCTTTAAAATGATGATTTGAAAGACGAATTGATATCAGAATTTGGTAATTCTTGTATGTTTGGACTCGTTATCGAATGAGTGTTCGAATTTTATATTTTTGGTTGGTTTCGGAGACGCGGGCCTAGAGGGTTGACTTTTAGTTCTTGTTAAAGTTTGAAGCTTTATTATCTGGAATTGGTTTCTATGAGTTTTATTTATGATTTGAAGTTATTTTGGCTAAATTTGAGCCGTCTGGAGGTTGTTTCTCTTGAGAAGGTCATTTAGAGTATCGGTCTATCTTCTTTGAGGTAAGTATCTTGCCTAACTTTGTGTAGGAGAAATACCCTTTAAGATTTGAGTCATTTGTGTTAATTGTGTCATGCGAAGACCGTGTACGCGAGGTGACGAGTACGTGCTCGGGCTTATTTGTGAAAATTTGACCGTTTAGGGCTCTTAGGTTCTTATGTTCATTAGATATGAAGTTGTTTGTCATGTTAAATTCCCCATTTACTAAATTCACCCTTACGTGTCTTAATTGAAATTAATTGCTTCATGTTCTACTCTTATTTCCGATTAAACTCTTACGAGTCTTAACTAAAGTTGTTGCCTCTTTTATCGTCATGCTATCTTTCCGTAATTGCTTAACCTTAATTGAAATCATTATTATCTCTTTCGTAATTGCTTAGCCTTAATGAAAGTTTATTACCCTTTCATTGTTGACGTATTTTTATTTGGGGTCATTGATTCATGTTATCTCTTTTGTTGTCGAATTGCACTTTCGTGAAATCATTGTTTCATATTACCTCTCCCTTGTTAAACTATTCTTGTTGAGACTATTATTTCCCTATTGTGTCTTTCTCTGTGAGTTTGTTCTTTCGTTTCTTTGTGTTCTGAAGTTCTTGTGTTGATTTACTTGTCGTATTCTCGTATTATTGTTGTTGTTATTGTATTCAGTGTTGTTGAGCCTAGGGCTATACATGGTTATGATATTGAAACTGTTTTGAGAAAATATTGTGGCATGTGGGCACATATTGTGAAGGTAATTTATTTGAGTTGTTATGTTTTTGGCATACGTATTTTGTTGAGAAAATTGTTTATGTGTTTGAACGAGATTTCTGTCGTGCGGTTGTTATTGTGTTGCACGAGGTTTCTGCCATGCAGTTGTTATTGTGTTGCATGAGGTTTCTGTCGTGCTGTTGTTATTATTATTGATACGCATGCAATGGTATAATGTCCGGGTGTTGAAATGCATGCGGTGAGATAAGGTGGGCTTGAAACGCGTGGCTAGTAGGGTAACTACTAGAAGTCATGTAATGTGATAAGGTGGGCTAAAATGCGGGATGCTATTTCGGGAAAAATCATTTTCAAAACTAAATATAAGGCTCCCGCGGTGATATAAGAAAAGTCGTGATTCATTTTACGATTTGAGACTACGAGGCGGTACCTCAGGAGGGCTCTTATTGTCATTTTCCCATTATCTGTGCACTTGTCTTTGATTGTTGTTTTCCTTAGCATACTACTAATTATTTTCCTCCGTGATGCACTCTCTGCTCAGTTTTATGTAGCTAATTTTGTTGTGTTGGTCGATGCTTCAAACTTCATTGCTGCTTTTATTATAATGTACATTTCGTGGTGATAGTTTCTTAGGTGTCATTCATTGTCTCTACTCCTATTTATTGACTGGAATTGTGGTAGAACACTTGCACAAGCATACACATAGTTAAATAACCCATATCGGTTTTAAAAGGTGAATCCTGGCGACATTAACCATTATACATACTCTTGGCTTCTTGCCTTCTGTGTCAGGATTGTTTTATTAGTACGTGAGTCGTCCGTTCGGTTATGAGTTGTAATGTGGGCACAAGATGCCAAGTGATTAGGGTTCATAAATTGGGACCCGTGAGCTGTGATTATGAGGTTCGGTACCTCGTGGAAATGCTTGAACATATTTAGTGTGAAAGCGGTTGTTCTTATTGAGTTGTTATTGGTTTTCCCTTTATTTGGTTTCTCCGGACTTAGATTGTGAACAATTACTTTACAACATTATTATATGACTGCTTCCTGTTGAATATTGTTGTTACTAGTGTATCATTGCAAGTATTGTTTTGTATTCCTTATTCTGCTTAGCTTTATATTAATATTATTTCTTTGTTAGTTCATCTACACACTTGTTCAGGTTATTTAGTATGGTAGGTGTCTTGATTGTCCCTCATCACTACTCCACCGAGGTTAGTCTTGATACTTACTAGGTACCACTGGGGTGTACTCATACTACGCTTCTGCACATTTTTATGCATATCCAGGTACCACGGTTGTTGTTGATTATTAGCTGGCTGATCGAGCTGTATAGACTCAAGGTAAACCTGTTGTCGCGTTCGCAGGCCTCGGAGCCACCTTCTGATATTTTCATTGTACTGTTTAATTTCGTTCAGAACAGTTGCATTTAGGGATTTTCTAGCAAACTCAGTAGAGCTTATGACTTGTACTATCGGTTTTAGAAATTGTAAGTTATGTATAAAGATTTCTATTTCATATTTATCATTGATGGTTGAATTTTTTTATTAATTTGGTAAGTGTTAGGCTTACCTAGTCTTAGAGGTTAGGTGCCGTCACGACATCCTACATAGGAAAATTGGGGCATGACATAAATATTCGTGTCATGTTTTCTCATTTTGGTTATTAATCTATAGGTAGGGGTATGGCCATTCCAATATCAATTAACAACCAAAAAAAAATCCTAAATATGTGTGTACTAGTATGAGTAGTACTTAATAGTATTTATTTTTGGGACAGGACAGTTGCACAACATTTATGAATCGTGATGTTTTCCACCACGTTTATATCATAGCGAGAAGATTAAGAGCCATCGGTCTAATTAAAATTTAAGTTGTATATGCCGACAATACAGTGCACCAATCCAATTTGACTTGAGGTGGCATGCGTTCACTACTTTAGGCTAAAATTATATTTAAACTGCAAATAAGTAATAAATATTTTAGAAATTTTTTAAAGGTCCGGAGTTCGAGTCTTGGGTATAAAATAATATATTTGTTAGGTTGCATTTTACCCATAACGCAAAAAATTTCGATTCAATACGGATAACGAACACCAAAAAAGATAATTTGTAATATACTCAACCTAGCTAGATCATATGGCCAAATTTACTTGGAAAGTAATGACTTATAACTAATTTGTCTGCAAAATGTTGCACTTATTAAAGTTAGATAACTCGTCACCAGTAATTATCAATGTGATATGAATCAATGGTAAGATACAATGAATGGCTGTCTAATATCATGTCATTTATTAAATTTGCACTTAGCAAAAGTCTATTTATGTAATTGAATTTTTTGCTTTTTTATTCGAATTTTGTGAAAGTTGAAATTCTCTATATAATAAGACTCTTTTCTTTTGTCAATTGACGTTCACTTGTTTTCATAGAACAAGGGGATTGGTAAAAAAGAAAGAAGCTTAAGGTCTCGTTTGTGTTAGTGAATTAAAAGTAGCTGATTAACATCATATCCTGAAAAATATCAGAAAATTAATTTTATAAATAAATAGTTATGTGTGTATAAGTACCAATAATAAACAGTTATTGTGTTTGGAGAAAAGATGCTAATGAGCACTTTTCTTTTTAAATTACTAAAATTCCCCTAAAACTACTATTTACGTAACATATTAATTTTAGAGTATTTTCACATAACTATTAGGTATAACGAAAAAGAATGGAGAAATAATTAAAATCTGTGTTTTATGAAGACTATTTCGGAGATTACAAAAGGTATTACCCTTAAAATCGTATTAATATTTGGCCAAATCAAAAGTACTTACAAACCGTAAAACCATAAGTTAGAAATGATCAACTTATGACTTTTGACTGATTTTGACTTTTGAAATCATAAAAGAAAGGTAATACCATGAATGAAATGAATTAAATAAAAGAGAGATATCATGAATGAAAAGGAAAAAATTGAAATAACTTTAGACAAAGTACTATTAGTGAAAGGTCGAATTATTATACAATTTCACATTCGATATTTACACCACTTGATGAATATAAGACTCATGACTTTTGTATATACATTAATCACTTAACCATAATTAGGTGATACGTATTCTCATTTTAATTTTTAACTGTTAATATTTGTTCTCCTAATTATAAAGTGAATTTATGCATGGTAAAAATACTCTCTCATGGACGATATCTATAATTGTGAAATTCAAAAATAAATACGTAGCAGCCCTTAATTTGTATAAATACTTGCATATATCACTCATTTTCCCACCACAAATCATATTTTCTTCTCTTTCAACCTACAAAAACTTATAGTCCATTCTGCATTGCTTTCTTGCCAAATCCCCCTCCCACACACAAAATAAAGATTTGGTGAGTCTTTGTTGAAATCTTCGCATAATATCTCTCTCCTTTTTTTTTTTACCATGCATTTTTTTGATCACTTCATTTTCACTTTGCATGAAACATTATTGAGACATTTACAATCTTTTTCATGACATCCTATTACAAATGGTTTGATGGAAAGGTGTGGTGCATGGGGTTAGTATGATCGTTTACTTTTTTTTTTTCAATACATAGGAGATCGTCGAAAAGGAAGGGAAACGGGACAATGACAGTACTAGCGAAGCCAGAAATTTTATTAGACTCACTTGTGGGATCCCACTTGATGGTTGTTGTTGTTGTTATTCTTCGCCGTCTTTAGCTCTGCCACTGAATAATGAGAATTTAACTCATACCAATATTGTGTAAGATTCTCATCGATGCCACAAGGTTTTAAATTTTGGTGGTGTAAGATATTGTCTAGACATATTCTTAATTCGAACTATCACCTATATTGTGTGTGAGATTCTTACTGATACTACTAGACCGTAAGTTTTAATGGCGTGAGATATTGTCTTGACATATTCTTAATTATATATCTTTTTTCTCGGTAAGGTAGAAGGTTAGAAGAAGAAATTAAGAATGTGGAAATTGAATATTGCACAAGGGCAAGACGGGCCATATTTGTACAGCACAAACAACTACGTTGGACGTCAAATATGGGCTTTTGACCCAAATGCTGGAAGCCCAGAAGAACGGGCCGAGATCGAAGAGGCCCGTCAACAATTTTGGAACAATCGCTATAAAATCAAGCCTAGTGGTGATCTTCTTTGGCGAATGCAGGTAAATAAACTTAGGGAAAATGACATTGTATAGCCATCCTCAAAATAATAATCAAAATATATAAATTTTGTATATATAACACATTCTGTATGGGTATTGTCATGATTCATAGAAATTATCAATGATATACAATATACAAACACATAAGCAAAACGAGTTTTTTCAATGGGTATTGTCATGATTCATAGAAAATATATATATGAGGCAAGATAAAAAAAATTGAGGAAATTTGAAGGTGAATTAGACTAGTTTGGAGTCAAAGTTCATTACTGATGATATACAATATTAAAAAATTTAGACAAAAAAGATTTTTTTTAAAATGGGTATGATTGAAATTTATTAAAAAATATATACATGAATATACAGATTTTGAGCAAGATTGGAGGTGATTTAGACTGATTTTGGTATAAAAATTCATAGTTACAATGGAGTTTAAACAATTCTTCTACGACACATGTAGCATGCATGTATCTCACATATAGGTATACATGAATATACATGTAATACATATGTAATACATAAATGATACATAGTGTGATACACATATCATCTTTTTTCATGTTCATCTTCTACTTCGAATTTTTAATTCAAACCACCTCAAAACTCCACTAAATCATCCCAAAACTAAGATTCATAACTCCTTAAGATGTATCCTATCTATTCCAACCACACCCACTTAAAAGAAAGTGAAAATTTAATCTTTTTGGCTACAAATAGCTAATTGGCTAACATCGGTGCATTTGGCTAATATTGATTAAATTTTATGAAATATTAGAATTAAAGAGTTACTCCCTCAGTTTTATTTTATGTGTCTTAGTTTGACTAGCTATGTAATTTAAGAAAGCAAGAGAGACTTTTAAATTTTGTGGTATTAAATTAAAGATATGAAAAATATACCCTACTAAAAATTACATAGTGTTTCCTAATATCATTGATGATGTGATTAGGAGTAAGTGCTTGCTGATGTCAGTTGTAATGTCAATATGTTGTCATGATATTTTTCATACAAATATGTTGTTATTATTCTGTATTCGAAAATATATTCAAAAATAAAACGATATAAAACCACAAATGTAGAAGAACAGAATTATTCTGAGCCCACTGAATTCACAGTGTTTCCTTAAGAATTTAATCCCCTCCTAGTACCCGAGGTTTAAGATTATTTTCTCTCAGTATAGAACGCATTACCCTCACTGGTGTAGCGGTACTTCAAACCCTAGTGTTTCAGCAAACACAATGAGCGGTGGCAAATCACACTTACTGATTTATTTTCTGTTAAAACAATGCAGAAAGAAGAAGGATAAATTAGAACTTTCGTAAGAAAAATTCGAAGGAGAGTTCATGTATTTATAGCCAAAAAGCGTTGGGTTATTACAACTCTTCATGTAAGGTTGCACCTTAAAATGGTTGTTTCATAAAATGACCATTTATGCAAACCGCCAAATTCAAATTATAACGGAAAAATTAAAACGGAGGAAAATTGAATTACCGTTACAGAAACGGTCTAATTTGGATTAATTAATATTGCGTTAATATTAACAAATAAATTTGGTCCAAAAAATTAATCAATCAATCGATCATTTGACCAAATCCAAATTCAAATTCGAATCTGAATCCTAAGCTTCTCCAATATGGGACAATGTCCCTTTGCCAAGGAGGGAAAATCAAATTTTTATTTTTTCCTTTCATTTCCCATTCACCCTCTTATAAGCTCTAAGAAGCTTAAACTCAACAATCCCCCACGTGAATGGGGAATGGCTATATTACGGAAATATGCATGAAAAACTGTGTGATTTACAAGCAAGGATTTATCAAATATGGATAAGTAGGTTTTCCTTTTAACTTTTCGTAGTGAACTTATGTCGGATATACTCGATCAATCGGTAGATTTGATATCTTTGAACCCTCAAACTTTGGTGTATAACTAGACAACCATAAGTCACACAACCAACCCTTAACCGTCTTTGANACCATAAGTCACACAATCAACCCTTAACCGTCTTTGGTTCTCATTGTTGTGTTCGTTTCAGTCATGAACACCGCCTGGTTTCATAAGTGCGTAGAGAACTGGCCTTGCAAAAATTTTCTTGAAGCGGCTAACACTTCTCACTTACATAGGTGATTCTTAAACGTGCCATCCCGTAGATACACTTTTTGATATAACCCGTATCAAATTTATAAACTATTAAAAAGCTTTACTACTTTATCCTTGGTATTGAACATTGTCTCATCACGAGAATGGATCAAAATTTTAGTTGACAATGTTGAACCGTCATTAATGACTTTGTTTGATCTCCTTGAACCTAGATCTTGGGATCTCCAGTATTCTAGGTAGAGTTACCGCCACAATGACTTGTCCTCGGCCATAGTCCTATTCCCCTCGATGATCTTTCAACTATCTCTCTAGTTAGGCCTTTCGTAAGTGGATCCGACACATTGTCATTTGACTTTACGTAGTCAATTGTGATGATTCCCCTAGAGAGTAGCTACCTAACGGTTTTATGTCTTCGTCGTATATGACGAGATTTACCGTTATACATAACGCTCCCAGCCCTTCCAATCGCCACTTGACTATCGCAATGTATGCATATTGGTGCCAAAATTTTGGTCCAAAATGGAATATCTTTCAAGAAATTCCGGAGCCATTCAGCTTCTTCACCGGCTTTATCTATGGCAATAAATTCAGCCTTCATTGTAGAGCGGGCAATACACATTTGTTTGGATTACTTCCAAGATACCGGTTGATCCAAAAACCCCATTATATATTCAGCCTCTATTATATATATACGTTTACAGGTTGATCCAAAACTTGTAAAATAAATAAGTTTTATGATTTAGTGTGCAAGTTTTTATTCAAAGTCCAGTAAACTCTTTCGGGTTTACCGAAAGGGAAATCTCTATTCTGTAAACTTTTAAGTTACTGTTTTTATTTATAAATTATGTTACTGTTTATTACCCCGATTTATTTATAGCTTTATATTATGTTCATGTCATATATATATTCAGCTTTTTTTTTGGTAACTAACAATTTTATTAATCACCAGTAACTTTACATATCCATAGCCTGCTTATACCTCAGCAGCTATAACTCTTACAATTCTAAAGCCTACACTAACTGTCTTTATTAAAACATAAAATATTATACCATGTTACTAATCCCAGTGGTGGCTCTCACATTACATATGTAGGATAACTCTCGTGCAATACTATCAGCTCCCCTGCTTCTCTTTTCAAATAGTCGCAGGTTCCTTTCAATCCAAATGAAGTGAGTTATCTCAGCATGTACCATCTTGTAGAGTTGAGCTCGTTGTGTCCTACCCTTAGCATATTGTATCACCCATTGCATATGTTGTTCCCAGTTATCTCTCACAACATCCTTCCTTTGCATCCAATGTAGGATTCTCTGCCATAATTCCCTTGTAAATCGATAGTTAACAAACAAGTGTTCCTTGTTCTCATCATGAACTTGGCATAAGGAGCACTTTGGATCTACAACTAAACCCCATTGTATCAGCCTATCTGCAGTCAGCAATCTCCCATGTAGTTGCAGCCACATGGTAAATATAGCTTTTGGCTTGCCATTGTTTTGGAACATCAAGCATTTCCAGTTAACCCTTGGTCTATCTCCCAGCAACTGCAGGTAGAAACTGCTGATCATACTCTTTCTTTGATGATGCACCTGGTGAAGAGTTGTTCTAGCATTTAGTATCTGTCTCACCATCCAGCTTGCTTGTTGGGGGATTGCCACCTCTTCAAGCAGTTTGTCTTTGATGTAGAAAATATGTATCTATCTTATCCATAGCCGATCTTGCTTGTGTGCTACAACCCAACATATTTTTGCTAGTGCAGCTTTGTTCCATAGATGCAAATTAATCAAGTTTAAGCCCCTGCTTGATTTAGGTGTACATATTCTGTACTATGTTACCAAAGCCTTTTTTGTGATCACATTTACCCCAGACCAGATGTAGCTTCTACAATATGATTCAATCATCTTCAAGACATTTGAAGGCAGAGTGAACAGCTACGACCAATAAGATTGAATACCAAAGAGCACAGTTTGAACAAGCTGCACTTGATCAGCATATGATAATTTCTTTGCTGTCCAGGAAGAAATCTTTGCAACTATCTTCTCTACCAAAGGGTGCCATTGCATCAGTGAGAGCTTCTTGGTAGCAATAGGGATACTAAGGTATTTGAAAGGCAGTTCTCCCACTGTGAAACCTAACTGTTGCAGGATCTCCACTCTTACAGTCTGAGGAACTCCCCCAAAATACACTGAGCTTTTCCTTAGTTTTGCTTGCAGTCCAAATACTTGGGAAAATTGGCTAAAACATCTATGAATAGCAGATATTGAGGGAAGGTCACCTCTGGCAAATAACAGGAGGTCATCTGCATAGCTTAGGTGTGTGATTCCTAACTTTGCACATCTTGGATGAAATCTGAAACTTTTCACTTCTTTGAGACTATTAAGACTTCTACTGAGATACTCCATAACTATGGCAAACAAGAAGGAAGAGATAGGATCTCCTTGCCTCAAACCTTTAGCAGCATCAAAAGGTGGGGTGGATTCACCATTTATCATGACAATATAGTTAACAGTGGTAACACTCTCCATTATCCATGCTACAAATCTCATAGGAAAACCCAGCTCTATCAGAACTTGTTCCAAAAAACTCCACTCGACTGAGTCATAGGCTTTTTGAAGATCAATCTTGATCATACATCTGTTAGAAATATTTTTCCTTGTGTATGCCTTTACTAACTCATGTGCTAGTATGATGTTATCAGTTATTCTCCTACCAGGAATGAAGCCAGCATGTGCCTCACAGATGATAGAGGCAATGACTTGTTGTATCCTGGCTGCTAGCACTTTTGATATCAGTTTATAAAGCATGGTGCAACATGCAATTGGTCGATAATCTTTGATTGTATTAGGACTGGGTATTTTAGGCACCAGTGTGAGAGTAGTACAGTTAACAGCTTTATACAATTTCCCAGTAGTAAAGAAGTCTTTGACAGCTTAAGTAACTTAACCTTTAATGACTACCCATGCCTTCTTAAATAAGTAGGCATTGTATCCATTTATTCCTGGTGCTTTATCACTATCAATAGCACACAGTCCAGCATAGATTTCTTTGTCAGTAACCTCAGCACAAAGAGCAATCTTTTGATGTTGTAATAATACTGGCCCATTCCTCATAATCAATCTATTTATAACAGGGAGATAATGGGATGCTGATCCCACTAGTGACTTGTAAAATTCAATGACCTCCTGCTTTATGCTTTCAGGGTGAGTAAGTTTATCACCTGTGAGGGCCATAATTTCATTTAGCTGCTTCTTCTGACTTCTTTCCTTCATAATTGCTGCAAAATACTTGGTGTTTGAATCACCAAGCCTAATCCATTTTGCTATTGACTTTTGCTTCAATATACTCTCTTCTATGATGGACCATTTTTCTAAATTCTGCAGTAAGTTCCTTTCTTCTTCAAGCAGTGAATCATTACATGCTGTATTGATCTTTCCCTATATGTTTTCTAATTCTACTCTAGCATGTTCAATCTTCAAGCTAATAGTTCTAAATTGTTCATTATTTAGAGCTCTGAAAATTGGCCTTAGAGCCTCCAGGTTCATCCAAACATTCTTCATCTTGCAGACAGCATATGATTGTCCCCAAATCATTTCCACAATATCAATAAAACTATCATGCTCGGCCCAAACATTAAAGAATCTAAATGTTACTTTGCCATGTTTTGGAGTTGAGTGTAGGGTGAGTATCATGGGGTTATGATCATAAATAAAAGGCATGCCATAATCAGTAGTCACATGACCTCACTGCATCATCCATTCAAAATTACCAAGTGCTCTGTCAAGCCTGCTGGATACCCTATCTGCACCATATTGTTTGTTTGACCATGTGTAATGCTCCCCTGTCCACGACAGTTCATTTAGAGATAGTGAAGCCATGCAATCAGCAAAGTCTTGAACTTCTGTATAGGTAATAGGACTACCTATAAGCCTGTCATTAGAATACAACACAACATTGAAATCACCACATAGGAGCCATGGCTTGGTAATTCTTACTGCTAGCTCCTTTATAGCTTCCCACAATTGTTTTCTTTGTTCTAGAGTATTATATCCATAGACAGCTGTAACTTCACAATCCACCACACCCAGCCTATCTTATACCAAATAATGTATAAGTTGAGCTTCAGTTCTTAGCAATGTAATAGTGTACCATTGAGGATCCCATGTAAGCCACACTCTCCCATTTGGAGCATGTTGATAGTTTGTAAAATAGTTCCACCCTAGGATTACTTTTAGCATTACCTTGCTTGCATTATGTTCTTTGACTCTAGTTTCAACTATAGCTGCGAACTTTATTTTCTGACTACTAATATACTTTTTAAACTCCTTTTGTTTGTATCTCTTATTTACATCTCTAATGTTCCATAATAGCCACTTCATTAGCAAGTCATGCGACCCCTACCCTTATCAGGTGGTAAGGTGTTAGCATTCCAATTTTCCCTTTGTAATGGCTCGAAGGCATTTTTCACTGCTATAGCTGACAGTGCTGGAAAATTTACCAGATTCAGTTCAAGCATAGTTCCTGCAGCTTTTCCCTTATCTACTGTTATCTCCAAATTGTCCTTGTGCTGTTGTATATGTGTTTGAAAATTGCCCTGCTGCACTTGTTCATGAGTACCAGCAGTTGGTTGCACATTTTCTTTGCCCTGTGAACCTTCATAGCTCTGCTGATGGGGAGTGTCTTGTGTCTGTTGCTGAGCTTGATCTCCTGGTTGGATAGTCTGATTGTCTCCTTCATTCAATGGGTCTTTGCATCTCCATTCCATTGTGACCTTCTTAGGCTCTCTTCTCCTTATAGGTTGCTTCTCTTGCTGATTGTTTGGTCGTTGCTCTATGTCATATTTATGCCCCACCACTAGACATTTCTGGCAGTACTCAGGTTTCCAGTCATACCTGACTAGCTGTGTGAACTTCCTGCATTAGGATCCATAACCATTAACTCTACATGCAACTCTTTAGTGATATTTACTTCTATTAGCATCCTCTCAAAGGACACTATAGTTTTCTTTGCAGTACACTCATATGCATAAATAGGAGTCCCAATTGCACTAGCCATTCTACTTAAAGAATCATGACCCCAACAGTTCATAGGCAGCTTAGGGAATTGAACCCACAACGGAATTTCTATGGGAAACTCCTCATTAAAATCAAAATCTGGTGTCTAAGGCTTTAGGATGATAGGTCTATTGTTTATCGTATATGGCCTAGAATAATAGACTTCCTTCATATCTGCTTCATTTTGGAACTTAATGATGTAGTAGCCCTCCTCATGTAGGTATAATTCATGTTCAGCAATATTTGCCCAATTTACCCCAATGTATCTCTTCATAGTGTTGTAACATGGTACTTCCCCAATAATATAAGCTATCACAACACTCTTCCACTTCTCTGTTTCTAGATCTATTTCAACTTTGTCTAATTGCACTACAATTTGGCCATCAATAATTTGTGGAGGTATGTAAGATAGTGACATACCATTCTCAACTGCTCTATTCCTCTGAAATAGGTTTGTCCATGGTTTGGGCTTCACAGCAACTGCCTCATTAGGTTTATTATTCTCCACAATCACTGTACTACTAGCAGCATGCACCGGATTCACTATTCCCTTGCCAGAAACTATCGTTTCCTTACTTGCATATTGAATCTGGGGCTCCTCAGGGTTGTTAACTTCAGTCGCTATTAGAGGAGTGTTCAGATCTAGCCTCTTCTTAACGCTAGAACTTGTCGATGATGATCCCACTTCACAGCTCATTATCCCATTTTCAATTTCAATTTCCCGCACCACCTATTTGTGAGAAGGTGTGCCTAATTGTTCCTTTTCATTTCGTCTGCTTGGATTCGTGCACCCACAGAGCTACCATAGATAGCTATGAGGTTATTCTTGGGCCTACCACACCCACGTCCACGTCCCCTTCCTCTTCCGTTCGCCATGGAAACACAATCAGCGCACGTTAACTATCATGCGCCGAGAGCATGAGCGAAGAGAGAGAAAATGGAGAATTATTTTTTATTTTCAGCTTTTTATATGTTCATATCATATATATTTCCTTAGTTGTTAGTTTGTACATAATCAAAAAACCACTATAAGTAGGCGTTTGGACATACGAATTGTAAAATTCGAAAAAATGGTGAAAATATTTTTCAAGTGAAAATGGTATTTGAAATTTAGAGTTGTGTTTGGACATAAATTTTATTTTGGGTTGTTTTTGAAGTTTTGTGAGTGACTTGAGTAAATTTTTTGAAAAATAGCTTTTTGCAGTATTTTAAATTTTCGAAAATTTCCAAAATGCATCTTCAAGTGAAAATTAGAAATTTTATGAACAAACGCTGATTTCGAAAAAAAGTACATTTTTTTGAAAAAATCTTCCATTAAATTTTATGTCCAAATGGACCCTAAGTATATGGTTATCTTTCTAATTTCTTAATAACTCTAATGGATTAACCTATAAATTCTTAGGAAAGACCAGTTAAAAAGCCCAAAATATTATCATAAAGGTGTTAGAATGGTCAAATGTGTTTAAGTGTGACTATGCTAAGGTTAAAGAAAGAGATATTAAGAAAAGATTCGGATCTTTAACAAATTGGAGAATATATATATAGAATTAAAGAGTTACTATTAAATATACAAAGGGAATATCCTTTACCGACTAGAAAAGAAAGTAGGACAAAAGAGTGTTTTTTTTTTTTGGTAAACCATTCACAATATGTGTGCAGTTTCTTCGAGGGAAGACTTTCAAACAGAAAATTCCAGCAGTAAAAGTAGAAGAAGGAGAAGAAATTACAGATGAAGTTGCCACAACTTCATTGCGTAGAGCTGTTCATTTCTTTTCAGCATTACAGGCTAGTGATGGTCATTGGCCTGCTGGAAATGGCGGTCCTTTGTTCTTTCTTCCACCTCTTGTAAGTTTTTCATTTGTAATTTTACTTTTCTTTTCTTTCAAAAATTGAAGCATGGATATGTTAAAGCTAATTCTTTGCTCATTTTCTTGGGACCCAAAATTCAGGTTATGTGTATGTACATTACTGGCCATCTTAATACAGTTTTCCCAGCTGAGCATCGTAAAGAAATTCTTCGGTATATATACTGTCACCAGGTATTTGACTTAATGTTTCAATGAGTATATCATTCTACCCAAGTTTGCTTTGCAAATTCCCAAAGAATTTAAGTGTATATTTAACTTTATACACTGATAATATAAAATTTCTTATCCTTTAGATAGTATAGACTGTCAGCTCATAGAAGTTAAACTCATTTCTGAATTACTGACTTCAGAATGAAGATGGTGGATGGGGTTTGCACATAGAAGGTCATAGTACCATGTTCTGTACAGCACTGAGTTACATATGCATGAGGATCCTCGGAGAAGGACCAGATGGTGGTGTAAACAATGCCTGTGCCAGAGCAAGGAAATGGATTCTTGATCATGGTAGTGTCACTGCAATTCCTTCCTGGGGAAAAACATGGCTCTCGGTATGATTAAATACCCTAATGGAGTAATTGTTAGACGACTGTATATTATAGTAGGATATAAGTTATATACACAGACAATGTACAGAAAATTTGTGTATTAACCTGTTGGAGCAGGTAACCTATCTTATTTTCTACGTTACTAATCCCACTTATTTAAACTTATTGATTATATGCTACATATGCCTCTGCACTTATTGTGGACAGTTAATTGTAGTTATTATTTAGGTGACATGATTCTATAAAATTTCCTTTTTATGGTTAGTGTATAAATCTCAGTAAATTATAACATTCTCCATTGTCAAGTAAACCTTGTAGTGTCATGTTAATGCTTTCTTATTGCTGATAAATCTTCCTTCTTTCATTCAGATTCTTGGAGTTTTTGAGTGGTTAGGAACTAATCCAATGCCACCTGAGTTTTGGATTCTTCCATCTTTTCTTCCCATGCATCCAGGTTGGTCAATTTAATTCTTTATTGCTCATGCATTAGTACTTAGTACACATCCTAATTTTCAGTTCATTTTATTGTAGATATTAATTTACGGGATTTGCTATGCAATGTTTTCTGGTTGATGTCATTTTCTACAAGTGTCGATCTATCGATTCTACCTAGTATCTTGATTCTTAATTTAAATGCAGCAAAAATGTGGTGTTACACTCGAATGGTCTACATGCCAATGTCTTATCTCTATGGGAAGAGATTTGTTGGTCCAATCACACCTCTCATTTTGCAATTGAGGGGAGAGTTATATGATCAGCCATACCGTGAGATTAACTGGAAAAAAGTACGCCATTTATGTGCAAAGGTATGACTTTTAGGGGTCTTTTGATTACCAAGATTAGAAAAATAATCTCGAGATAGAATTTGATATTATTTATCCCTGTATAACTTTGTCTACGGACCAAATGAGTCCTCAGTGTTGAAGTTAGTGTCTACATTGTACCATCTTCTACAAATCCTCAAATACAAAGTTGTTGCTGCAGGAGGATCTCTTTTACCCTCATCCATTGGTTCAAGATTTGATGTGGGACATTCTCTACATATGTACCGAGCCTCTATTGACTCGTTGGCCTTTCAACAAGCTGAGAAATAAAGCTCTTGAAGTTACCATGAAACACATACACTATGAAGACGAGAGTAGTCGATACATCACCATTGGATGTGTGGAAAAAGTATGAACACTAATTCATTTTGAACAGATTACAAATTACCTGCATTTTGTTAATGACTTCAATTGTTAGACACTGATGTAACACTTGGATGGTGTAGGTATTATGCATGCTTGCTTGTTGGGTTGAGGATCCCAACGGCGATTGTTTCAAAAAACATCTTGCTAGGATCCCAGATTATTTATGGGTAGCTGAAGATGGAATGAAATTGCAGGTTGGTAGATCTGAATTGTACTATTTCACTAACCACAATGAGTTAAAAATAGGATCTCTTTTACACTTAACGCGTGTTCGTGAAATAAAAACTCTACCCCCCTTTTCCTATTTTGAAGTGATGCAAACAATTGTTACTGAGATTGGCGAGTACTTGTCATCGGATTGCAGGGTCTTGGTAGTCAACTATGGGATACTGCCTTTGCTATTCAAGCACTATTGGCCAGTGAGATGAATGATGAGATATCAGATACTCTTAGAAAAGGACATGACTTTATAAAGAAATCTCAGGTTTGGATATCTAAATCATGAGCATAACAGCTCTTTCAAAATATGGACCTTATCAATGTATGTGACTTGTTTCTAGGTGAAGGAAAACCCTTCTGGTGATTTTAGAGGGATGTATCGGCATATCTCAAAAGGATCATGGACTTTTTCAGATCAAGATCATGGATGGGGAGTATCTGATTGCACTGCCGAAGCATTAACGGTATCTACTATTCAATGAAATAAGATTTTAACTTCTTGTAATTGCTGAAAAATGTTAAGATGATAATGCTAGTAAATTTGCCTGATATCTTTTTTTGTTTGTTTTGTTTTCCTCTAGTGCTGCCTTCTCTTCTCTACAATGCCCTCTGAATTAGTTGGTGAGGCAATGGAACCTGCGCTACTGTATGACGCGGTGAATGTTATTCTTTCCTTACAGGTAAACACTGAAAAATGTGTCCTAAAATCATTAGTCGTTTTGAAGTTGTTTTCTGCTTGTAAAAAATTCCAAGAGAAACCTATATCTTACACCGAATAGAGAATCCAATACATGGCTACCTGCGTTATAAATTCATCTTTTCTGAATTTAGTCGCTCGTCATTTGAATCATTTCTAGTAATAATAAGATCCATTTAAATAAAATTGCAGAGCAAAAATGGGGGTTTATCAGTATGGGAGCCTGCAGGGGCCTCAGAGTATTTGGAGGTAACTTTTCACGATATAGGAATTTTGTCTATTTGCTTCATTTCAAGGATGTTAAACACCTTCAACTTCTTCTCTAGTCTTCCAGAACCTGAATAATTAACTTTCTTGTTCTGTTTTATAATCTGACAGTTGCTCAATCCTACTGAATTTTTCGCAGACATTGTTATTGAGCATGAGTAAGATTTATTTCTCTAGTTTCTCTCTTTCCCTTTAGATTTTTTCCCATTGTTAGTATCCATTTTACAGCTTCACACTGATTAAATGTCAATCCAGGTATGTTGAGTGCACTGGCTCGTCAATCCAAGCACTTGTTCTGTTTAAGAAGCTATACCCTGGACACCGAACCAATGAGGTTGACAATTTCATTGACAACGCTGTTAAATATTTTGAAGATGTACAGATGCCTGATGGTTCATGGTATATGATATGACTCTTGCGAGCCCTTGAACTTGCAACATATAGTTCCTTTCTGCTCTATCGATACATATGACATGATTAATCATGTCAACAGGTATGGTTGCTGGGGTGTGTGCTTCATATATGCTTCCTGGTTTGCTCTTGGAGGGCTTGCTGCAGCAGGCAAGAGTTACAGCAACTGTGCAGCTGTCCGTAAAGGTGTTGAATTTCTGCTAAGAACACAAAGATCTGATGGTGGTTGGGGAGAAAGCTATCGTTCTTGCCCTGACAAGGTAATGTAAAAGCAAAAAAGGCTTTGTAAAACAACAATAACAACAGCTACGTCTCAATCTATAACAATGTATAGCTACGTCTGAATAATTTAAACCAAGGTTTCTATTAACATGAACTTTTCCCCAAGAGGAGGAAATGTAAAGATGACTGGAAAAGACAACTGTGAATCAGCTTTGTATTTGTTCAAAACAGGTATACAGAGAACTTGAAACAGATAACTCAAATCTTGTACAAACTGCATGGGCATTAATGGGATTGATTCACTCTGGCCAGGTGAATTCCTTGTATTTTATTTCACAATCACAGTAAAAATTTTCTTCTTCAAAAGAGTTACTATTTACCAACTTCTCCATTTGGACAGGTTGATAGAGATCCGAGGCCCCTCCACCGTGCGGCAAGGCTGTTGATTAATTCTCAGTTGGAAGATGGTGACTTCCCACAGCAGGTAATTACTCTGCAAATTACAAGCTAAGCAAAGGAGAAAATTCTTCGACCGTTAAATATCAAGCTGTTAAGTATTGGAATGAGATAAGACTCAAATTGAACAAAACGGACATAGCTGATTCATATAGACGACTCAAACTAGTTTAGAATCTGGTAGTATTTGATTGATATCAATTAATTTATATAAAGAAACAAGTTGTTTCAGACTGGCAAAACAATATCTATAAGAACAGAGATTACTAAAACCAGTTTTATCAAAAATTGCTTTTATCTGACTTGTGTTTCACTTCATAAATATGTTCAGGAACTAACTGGAGTTTTTATGAAGAATTGCATGTTGCACTATGCTTTATACAGAAATATATTTCCATTGTGGGGTTTGGCAGAATACCGCAAAAATGTCGTATTACCATTACAAAAAAACTAAATACATTTGAATGCAGCCTTCTTCAAAGAAAGATATGAAAGCAATCTGCCTAATATAGTATGGCGTTTGGTCCTTATAAAATTTTCCAGAAATAATGTAGTTTATTTTTTGTTGTGTTAAATGTTAATGTTAGTGATGTAATGTAACAATGTCAAAAATCATAGCCTAAGCACTATTCGTCAATAAAGAAAATTACAAAATTGCTAATTTGTGTAATTCTTTTCTTTTTCATTCTACTAATTTTTTTATTCCTTCTTACTATATTTTCCAACTAGAATTGTGGACCACATTAGTGATGAGATGTGTATTCAACCCTTAATAAAAAATTTTGGGTTCGAGTCCGGAGAATGGAAAAATTTCTGATAAGGAATTCCTTTAATAGGCTCTATGCAGTATCACGGATCATTAATCTGATTAATCTATAAAAATATATGGGCTAGTCAGTTTCGGACGGGTAATCGAAAAATAGCCAGTGTTTGCAAAGTCATTGAAAAATAATCACTATTTTATGCAAAGATAAAATCTGAACAAAAATATTCTAGCTGAAATAAAGAAAGTTCCGCATAATATGTTGGATGCGTATAAACTAATAGACATATTATGTTAGAACTGCAGCATATTATGAAATTCCTAACACATTATATTGGAATCTCATATGTACAAAAATTCAAACTCCAGCATATTATGCTGGAACTTTTTTCAGATTTTTAAAGATGTTTTTGTTGAGATTTTATTTTTACATAAAAAAATGACTAAATTTCAATTACGTTAGAAATTGTGATTATTTTTCAAATATCAGTTGTAAATTAGGCTATTTCTGATTATTTTTTTTTCGCGATTAATCTGGATTAGTCTGGTTAAAAGTAAATACATAGTAATATTATTGGAAACCTTGTACAAAGGTTTCTTTCGTTGATTTAATTCAACTTCTAACTTGTAACTACCATAAATAAGAGAATTAATACAATACTCATTATTTCCCTCCCCAGCTACCCTCTGTTGTTTTCATACAAGAAAATTTTCAATCAAATCATATATCACAATCACATGATACATGAACAATACATTTTAATGGTTTCAAGCAAAGGACATATGGACGGTGGGGATCATTCATGTTCTTAATACTTTCTTTATATATGTATAACTCTTGCCCCACCACAGGCGACAGCAATGATTCATATCTAATATTCTAGTACTCAGGCATTATTAATAACTCTTGCGTAATTAATTTGTTTAGGATCGGGAATTCGGGTAGTGCGAAATTTAGCCAAACAAAGTTATAATGACAATAACAAAGACAATGGAAGTTGATAATAACGACAATTAAAGTATACAAAAGAGACATAATTTAACGTGATTCGGTCAAGGTGACATACGTCCACAAGCGAAGATGAGTAATTTCACTATAACAACCGGCACACAAAAGAGAGTATAAAATTAGAGATGAAACTCTAATTATCCCAAAATATATCCCAAGAGAATAATCTCGCTACTATCACTCACAAAGGAAAGGTTCTCTCAAAGTGTTTCTCAACACTAACTTTATGGAATATAATAAAATTCTCTATTACAAGAATATTCAAAATGAGTTTCTAATCAAAATATAAGATGATTCAAACTACGTAAGATGACCTATATTTATAGGGCAAAGTTCTTGGTCCCCAAATACAAAAAAAAATGAATAAAAGAATTTGGCTCCTAAGTTAGAATTCTTTGGCTCCAAGTTTGGTATGGACAAATTTAGGCCATATGTTATGGATTATATATTGAGGGCTAGACTCGTAACTTTGTTTATTCATTCACAGCGTCTTAGAAGCTACGATCCCTAGATGGACTTGTATTATTGTGGGTTGCTAGTGATATTTATTATTATTGCTCACTTTATATTATTAATTTTTATTTCACTTTATTCATTTAATAATGTCATTAATTAAAAAAATTGGATCACGTTGATGCGAATTGGATATGTATTACATTATTATGGTTCCTCAATCGGTGCTAGTTGCAAGTTGCAACTAACCTGTCATTAGTGCATATCAAGAATAATTTTTTATGGTTTCATGATTAAGTGATATAATTCTTATTTTAATTTTTAACTGTTAATATTTGTACTCCTCATTATAAAGTGAACTAATGCACGGTAGAAACAATAAAATAAATAATTCTGCTAGAGAAAGATAGAGGCTTGAAGTTGGTTCGTTGAGCTAGAGGAGAGAAGGGTCAACAAAGATTTCATATCATATGCTAGTTTTTTTTTCTATCTATCCAATACGTTTTTCATTTCTCGTGTGACGATACCTATGATTGTAAAATTCAGGAATGAATAGTTGCAATAATCATATTCACTAACGGTCCATAATTTGTATAAATAGTTGCATAAATCACCAGACGTAAAGTTAGGATTTCAATCTTATGGTTTCAGAATTGTAATTATATTAAATTACTGGGTTCTAAATTAATAATTTATACGTCTTTGATAATTTTTTAAAGATAAATACAAACTTTGAATCAAAGCTACTGGATTCGATCGAACCCGCTCCCGGTACTCTAGCTCTCCGCCTTAGTAGATCACTCATTTTTCCCCACACAATCATAATTTTTCGTATAGCTTTCTCTTCAACTTCCCTCCATAAAAACTTGATCAGTATTTGTAGAAATATTTCTCATAACATCCTTTTTTCAAAAGAATTTTTTCCCTTAATTATCTTCACTATCAGGCTCAAATTATATATCTAGTTGGAAATGTGTTTTATTAAAGTCAACTATTTGGATTGTACTTAAACCTAGGATCATATGGCCAAATTTATTTGGAGGCAAATGACTTATAACTAATTTGTCTGCAGATGCACTTATAAAAGTTAGGTAGCTCCTCATGGGTAATAGTCAATGAGATATTTATTAATGATAAGGACAATTCCTCAAGCCTTTGTTTCCTTGCTATATTGATATTCTTTATAAGTGGATCTGGAAAGATAGCGTGTACGTAAATTTTATCCCTACTTTATGAAAGTAGAAAGGTTGTTTTCGATAAATCCTCGCTTCAATAAAAGCATAGTCATAACACTGTTGAAAGGAATATAGTGGCGGATATAGTAATAGAAAGAAGCAGTAACTGGAAGCAGTAACAATTTGGTGGGTGTAGTAAATAATAAAATTTAAAGAATAATTTGGTGAAAAGTAAAACCTGAACTTTTAAGGGATAAATGATGAAAATTAGGGATTTAGGGTTGTGCAAACAGAACCGGAAAATCGCACCAAACCGAAAAGTCAAACCAAACCGTTTAAAAAATCCAACTAGGTTTGGTTTGATTTGGTTTGGTATTGAGTAAAAAATACGAACCAAACCGACATATAGATATATAATTTTTATATATACTTTTAAGCTTTTATATAGAATTGTTTTTAAAAATATGTCTAGAAATATTTGAGATTCTCTTACGGGATATAATATTTAATAAAATATGAAGTGCTTTATATTAATTAATCTTAAATAATGGGTTGTATGATCACTTTCTTATCAAGTGTTACTTAAATGCGTCAATCTCTTTGTTCTTCCATATTCATATGTCAAGATCTATTAAATTCTTATATCTTTTTCGAATTTGAAGTGATTTGTCACGACCCAAACTGATGGGCTGCGACGGGCATCCGATACCTTACTCAACCGAGTACCAACGTCACGTATTTTTCGTACCATACTATCATAGATAAATGAGTCGGAGAGACTGTCGTGAGATAAGTAGAATAATAATGAGGAAACACTCAACATTGGATGACCCAACATGTAATACGAACTTATACATATGACATACGGGCCTATAAGACCAAAATGATCACTCGTACATTGAACATAGGCCGATAAGGCCGTACAATCTTTCACGTACATGACATATGTCTACAAGCCTCTAAGAGTAGATGAATACCAAAAAGGTCGGGACATGGCCCCGTAATACTAATTAATACATGTTCAAATCATACTGACCAAATAAGCAACTCCGGAGCAAATGGAGCGTACTAATACCTTCCGATGAGCTGATAGCCTACTTGGAGGACTCGCAGCCTGTTTATCAGGACCTGCAGGCATGAAACGCAGCGTCCCCAGGCAAAAGGGACGTCAGTACAAATAATGTACCGAGTATGTAAGGAATGAAAATTAGTAAATAATAGACATGAGAGAAACATGGAGTAAAAGACATGTAAGTTTGAATAACCCTGTGAATCATTTCATATTTATAATATCATACATATACGTATAAATGTCATACCATGCATAGGTATATGCGTACATAACATCATCAAATCTCTAAGGGCATCCCATCATATCATCTCGGCCACTGTGGGTAAATCATCAAACGTATACCAGCTGATCAGGTGGTAGTGCGTATATAACGCCATAACCTTTTTCCATATCCCATATACACATAATATGCGAGTATATAACGCCTTCTGGTCATGGGTCAATGTACATGTATAAATGCATGAAATGCATAAGAAATACATTAATAAGATTTCTCGACTATTATAAAATCAATATGCCTTTCGGACAAACTTTATCAAATACGTATTTTTCTGAGACCCATGAACAGAGGATATAATAATAATTCACATGTGGAATCAAGAATATAGACACCCCTGGTATTTTTATGAATAAAGTCATTTATGAGAGTTGCGTATTTTGCTCGTTTCATTTGTATCATTTGGATCATGCCAAAAAGAAAGAAGGGATAGACTTAACATACCTTAATTGCACGTATGAGCTCGTAGAAGATCGTAGGCAACGGATCAAACCAAGATCGCCTCTTTAAAGCTTCTCGATACCTTACTTCATTACAAAGTAATATTCGGATTGATAATATTCATAGTATATCGATGTTATAACCATGAAATCGATGGAGGAAGATTAGAATATTTGATCTTGGAAGGAGGAGGAGAACATGAAGTAAATTGATGTATGTTGATACAGAGATGAAGAAGGGAACGTTATTGCCTATGGATCATCTTGTATAATGCAGCAACATTTCCTTTTTAAAAGCCTTAGCTATTAAATCTCAAGAAGAGATATCAATTAAAACAAATGATAGTCATACGGGTTATAAGCATATAAAGGCAAGTCCTTCATTAATTAAAGAAAAGGGGCTTTGATTCTAGTTGATTGACATCCTCTAATAATTTTATTAATATAATAATATATAGATATCTAATTGAGTAGACACCGT